ATCAGGTAACTAAAAATATTTATTAACATTTTTCCTAGTTCACCAGTGTAGCCCTATCGGTAACACTGTTCCTTAGCAACGCAGCCTTATCGGTAGCGTTGGTTCCAAGTCCACAAGTGTAGCCCTATCGGTAACACTGTTCCTAAGCAACGCAGCCTTATCGGTAGCGTTGGTTTCAAGTCCACCAGTGTAGCCCTATCGGTAACACTGTTCTTTAGCAACGCAGCCTTGTCGGTAGCGTTGGTTCCAAGTTCATCAGTGGAGCCCAATCGGTAACACTGTTTCTTAGCAACGCAGCCTTATCGGTAGCGTTGGTTCCAAGTCCACCAGTGTAGCCCAGTCGGTAACACTGACTCTTTAACAACGCAGCCTTGTCGGTAGTGTTGGTTCCAAATCCACCATTGGTTAGAATTTTTTATTATTTCAGGAATTATAATAATTCTTAATATTTGCAATTATAATATATATTGTTAGCAAATAAGTTATAAATATTGTAAAAATTAATTTCGGAAAAAAAAAATAAATAAAGAAATTAAAAGAACAATTAACCGGCTTTAAAATTATTATTCGAAAGATTCAGGGTTATAAGAAATATTCTTGTAACGACTCTGGGATCCGGCGAGCAAAACCTCGGCTGATGTAAAGGTTTATTACAAGTGGCGCCCGAGCAGGGACCCTGAATACAACGTAGAAAACTTCGTAATATAATAATGAGTAAGGCCTGGATTCGAAACCTGAAGAAAGATGAGCTGATTGAATACCTCGAGGAATTCGATGAGGATTCAACAGGAACGGTAGAGGAACTCCGCAAACGACTATCAGTATTCGTTGGAATGGAGCATTCCACGCAAGTGACGTCTCGGCTAGCGAACTTGTCACAGAAGCATGGGAAAGTCATCTTCGAAGAAGTAGTGGGCAAAGAAACCTCCCAAGAACAATTGATACAAGCAAAGACGCCGACAAAGAAACTGAGAGAAAGTGCATCTATGCCTAAGTCAGTATATGCCATGGTGATTGACCAAGTACGGAAGTGGTCTATAAAATATGACGGAGGAGCAGATCCGATTGCTTTCATCGAACGGTTGGAAGAACTAGCAGATGTCTATGACATTCAATTAAACATGCTGCCAAGAACTATGCCTGAGTTGTTAAAAGACAAAGCTTTGGTATGGTTCCGACATAATAAACAAAGTTGGATGAATTGGAATGACTTCAAGGAGGATTTATTAAAATTTTTATTACCTCGTCGCTACTTGGAACAACTTGATGATGAAGTCCGGCAGAGACACCAGCAAAGTAAAGAAGACTTCAAGACATATGTGCTAGTGATGCAACGTTTGATGAAATACCTAAACTATACAGCAGTACAACAGCTGGACAGAATATTTCACAACAGTAGAACAGAATATCAATTGTACATCAAGCGTAGAGAATTTCAGCCCCTATCGGAGCTAATAAATCTAGCAGAAGACTACGAAATCATCCGCACAGAAGAGAAGAAAAAACCAACAGAATCTCGCCCAATCGACAAAGGAAGACAGATACCATTTGGCCAAGTCACACACATTAGCTCATCAAAAATATGCTATCATTGTGGTAGAACAAGACACATCGCAAAGAGTTGCCGTAATCCACAGGTTCTGTTTTGCTGGCAATGTGGGAAAAAGGATATACGCACCATAGAGTGCTGTCGAAGACCAACTACTCAGGGAAACGGACTAAGGTCACGTCGCCTAAACCAAGCGAACGTGACCACAACACATTTCAAGTAAACCAAGGAAATCCTATTAGCCAACACCTCACAGTCAACGTACAAATTCAAGACCTTCCAGTATCGGCTACCATAAACACAGGTGCAACCAGGAGTTTCATTGAACCCAAACTACTGACAAAAATACAAGCAGAAAAGAAACATTGCAGCAAAGATATCATCTTAGCAGATGGAACAAGACGCAGAATAACTGAAGCAGTAATAGCCACAATTAACTTAGGGAAAACAAAAACTGAAATCGAGTTCTTGGTATTAAAGGGGATGGCTAACAACCTAGTATTAGGTCTAGATTTCCTATCTAGCAGTCAGAGTAACCTACAGATTGGGAAAACTACCATCCCGATACAGATAAGGAAACACATGGATAGCCATTATTGCAGTATACGACAGAGTTACATCGACGAAACACCTGAAATTAAAAACTTCTTAAACAAAGAATTGGCCTATTTTGCTAAGTTGGAGGAAACATCAAACATTACAACGCATAAGATAACAATGAAAAATGATGCACCAATTAAGCAAAGATATCATCCAAGAAACCCAGCAATGCAAAAAATTCTAAATCAAGAAGTGGACGAACTACTAGAAAAAGGATGTATAGAACGATCGTACAGTCCATACAGCGCTCCAGTAGTACTCGTCAAAAAGAAAGATGGAAGTTGGAGGTTCTGTGTTGATTATAGACTACTCAATGCCAATTCCATCCCAGATGCATACCCACTGCCGCGAATACAACATATACTCGACCAGCTACGAGAAGCAAAGTACATTAGCAGTCTAGATTTAAAAAAAGGGTATTGGCAAATACCAATGGACGAAGCCAGCAAAAAGTTTACAGCATTTACTGTACCTGGAAGAGGGCTGTTCCAATGGCGTGTTATGCCGTTTGGCCTACACTCAGCACCTGCCACCTTCCAACGGGCATTGGATAAGGTAATAGGGCCTGAAATGGAGCCATATGCTTTCGCATATCTTGACGACATTATAGTAATTGGCCGCACACTAGAGGAACATAAACCGCATCTACAAGAAGTATTGAGACGTTTGCGAGAGGCACGGCTTAAAATCAACATTCCTAAATGCAAATTCTTTATGGACGAAATCAAATATCTTGGGCACGTTGTAAGCAATCAAGGAATCCACATCGACCCAGATAAAATAGCGGCCATAAAAGAGTTAGCACCTCCCACAAATTTGAAAGAACTACGACGATATCTAGGAATAGCGTCTTGGTATCGAAGATTCGTGCCGGAATTTTCAAATACAATCCAACCCATGACAGCACTGCTAAAGAAGGGGAAAAAATGGATCTGGTCGATAGAACAACAGGAGGCATTTGACGCTCTGACGCAAAAACTTACTACTGCTCCGATTCTTACATGCCCAGATTTTACTGAGCGTTTTACACTTCAAACAGACGCCAGTGATAATGGATTGGGGGCTGTACTTACGCAAATCATCCTTGGGGAAGAGAAAGTCATTGCTCACGTCAGTAGGTCATTAAACAAGGCAGAGAAAAATTACACCACTACTGAGAAGGAATGCCTCGCAATCATTTGGGGAATAAGAAAGATGCGACAATATCTAGAAGGTTACCGGTTTAAAGTGATTACAGACCATCTCGCTCTAAAATGGCTGAACTCAATTAATAACCCCTCTGGACGCATCGCTCGATGGGCTCTGGAGCTACAGCAATATACATTCGACATAGAATATCGGAAAGGCAAACAAAATATAATTGCGGATGCCCTATCACGCCAGCTATTACCATTGTTCGCACAAGCAGTTGTGCAAGATACAAAACCTACCACGTGCATCTGGTTGCAAAGACTGGTAAACGAAGTGCAAGAAGATCCAGAAAAACACCCAGACTACACCATCGAGAATGGCAACTTATACCGGCGAATATTATGCAGCAACCTAGACAATGACTCTCCTGCTTGGAAACTTTGTGTTCCGACAGAAATACGACAACGAGTGATGAGGGAATGCCACGACAAACCAACTGCCGGACATCTTGGGATTAAAAAAACTATACTTCGGGTGATATCAAAGTATTATTGGCCTGGAATTTTTCGGGATATAAGGAAATATGTGCAAAACTGTAGCTCATGTCAGCGGTATAAAGTAAGTCAACAAAAACCTCCCGGAAAAATGTTAACGGAAATACCAAATGAACCATGGGCAGTACTCTGTGCTGATTTTATTGGACCACTACCTCGCTCATACAAAGGAAATACGGTAGCATTGGTTCTCTTGGACAAGTTCAGTAAATGGACCGAAGTTATCCCCCTCAAATCTGCTACAACAAACGAAGTGAAGAAGGCATTACGAGAAAATATAATAGCTAGAGTTGGAGTCCCAAAGGTTATACTCACAGATAACGGATCAGCAATTGCCCAATAGAATACACTACTCTAAAACCAAGTGCAGTAGTAGTAAGTCATCCCGAACAGAATAAGAAGCTCACCACCAGCATTCAAAAATACCGAAAGCGGCTCGAAACAATTGAACTAGCCAAGCCCAGGACCA